CCTTACTTTTAGGTACTTTTAATAAGAAAATACCAAATCTCCAAACAATCAATTCACTGTAGTGTGTTTAAATTCAAGTAAATATTCTTTAAACCCTCTGAATGGTTATCCTTAAAGTAAAACATCTGAATCTCACTGAAATACAATCACAGAATAATAACTAACATAAGATGTACTTTACATTTTAAATTTAAAAAGTTCTTTTTTGTGTGAACTTTAAGTCTTAGCTTGGACTTTTTTCTTTGATACAGAATTAATTAAATGATTTATTTATATAACAGTTTTGCTTTCGCCTACAGGGTTTCTAAGTAGCAGTGCTGATGCATTCAGGAAAAAGAGGAAATCTCATCTCCTTACACAAGTTTGTATCATTTCTTTACACTGTAACCTGTAATCTTGTTGTTTACAAATGTAACGTTTAAATTCTCATTAAAAACAACACTTTAAAAGTCACATTTGGCTAAATTAACTTCAGAAGAATGTATTAATGAAAACACCACAACATCTGTCAAAACATAAAAGGACATCAGTAACTCCACTTTTGTTAAAATAATCATTCTGTTTATTGAGATGATTTTCAACCTCATATCCACCCATCGGTTATAAATCAGAAAAAACTAGAAACTCTCAGACAAAATGTTAAAGATTGAAAAAAAAACAACAACAAAAAAAGACATTTTGGTTAATAAATGTACATTTATTCTGAAACAGACGTTTCCATTTTTTTAACTGGATAAATCAAACTGAGAGTTTATTACATCAAGAGCCAGCTCCACACCACAAATTATTTCCTTTCAAATCTTAAAATTTGTGCATCACTGCTACCTAAAAGGCACCAAACGTGAGAGCAAAAGAAAGTCACAAATGAATGATTTTTTAAAAACCCATTCCAAAGGTTGATCTCCTTCAAAATAAAACAACAAATTTCAAATACATTTAAAATAAAATAAAATAAACATGCTAATTAAAAACAGTCTGAATCTAGAGAGGTGTACTACAAAGAGAGATAAACTGGTTAGTTGGGCATGGCGAGCTTTAAGTCAGAGTTTTCACTGTGATGAAGGCGGATCTGTTAAATGAACGTGAACCCTCAAAGTGCTTTTTACTACAAGCCTCATTCACTTCAAGCACACACATTCATACAGCGCTTTTATTCCACACACACACACACACACACACACACACACACACACACACCCCTACCTGCTCTACCTCAGTGACCACAGGCTCAGTTTAACCTGCTAGATCACCATGGTAACTAATGCTTAAGGCAACCTGGTCCTGTTCTGTGAAAAGCAGGACTCGGCTTATGGAGTTAACGTCAGGTTTAAACCTTGCTTTCCTTCTTCCAGGGCTACATCGCCATGGTAATTTATGCTGCAGCTACACCAAAGCACATATGACATCACCTGAAACAGTGCATCCATTCCCCGTGGAGCTCAGCGTTATTAGTGACAGTTTAAATAATAAGCATCAATCATTAAATGCAGATTTTTAGGAGAAACTTTATTTGTAGCTTTTTTTTCTCTGTTTCCTGGAGTTTTACAGCAGTTTTATTATTCTGTATTCAGTCTGAATTAAACGACAAAGCCTGTTGAATTAATGGAATATTTAGCTGTAATCATGTCAGGTGGAGCATGGAGCATTACTGAGTCTGTTTTCTGTGTTTAACCTGTTCATATTTCTCTAAGATTACAGCTTTAGTTTCCTTTGTATGATCAGCTGCTGTGCTGCCAGTTTTCAGTCTGCGATCGGTCACATGCTACAAACTGTCTGGTTTGATCATTCGAGAAGAAGCTCTCATCTGCTACTGTCACGTTAAAATTTAGGTTTTCTAGGCAAGGTTAAAAGCTTTCTGTGGCACTCATCTTTGGCTTCGTTTTCTTTTGAAATATTTCATTCATCTCTCTCAGTGACCTCCTCTGACTGACGTAAATGCCATTCAATCATCTTGTGAAATAATGCGTCAAACACCACCTTTAACGTGAGCCCAGACCAGAAAGCTTCCATTAACAGAGAAAGTTGAGAAGCAGCAGTTATCTCTGACTGGGATTTTAGGTTTTGTCAAGCCAGCTAAAGCGAAGAAAGCCCGGCTGTGTTGAGCTTGCTTCATAGTACACTCCTCTGATGTGGATCTGTGTGGAAAAACGTCTGGAAGTCTTCATTTGTTTCGAGGAACTTTTTCTCCAAGAGGAACCTCCATCAGTTTCTGTGGGGAGAACAGAAATCAGCTACATGATCTCAACCAATTAAGAAAGAGTAATTATTTGTTACTGTGGAGAGTGGCCTTCGAACAGCAGAAGAAACATGACTTGCTTTGACAGGCAGTTTCCTTAAATTCATTTCTGCTTTCTTGGAGGACAGATGCCGTGTGACTCCCCATGATCGCATATTTTTAGTAACTTTGTGTCCGTGTTGGAGTTTGTTTTGAATTTTTATGAGTCATATTTTTATTCCGGTGTTTTGTTTTTACTTGGTAAAGCGTATTGTACCTTTGAATTCTATTTTATCATGTTTTGGTTTTTTAATATACTTTTTCCAAGATTTATTTTTTATATTTTTAGTGGCTCCTAATGTTTTTCACACTGTTAGTGTACTTAAAGATGATTGTAGCAATTTTAATTGGTTAATCAATATGTTTTAAATACATAAAGTAATGCTGGATGTTTTATTATTGTAGCTGATTTTAATTTTTCTTGGTTATCTGTAATTTTATTTTACTGTGAACATTTTAGAAATTTGATTTATTTTTAGTTTCTCTTGATTTTAGCCTCATTCACTCATATTCATTCATCTATTTATTTGATGTATTTTTTATATGAATTATAAGTTAAGTTTGATGTATTTTTTCTGGTTCTCTTATAAGCTATTTTCAAATCAGCTATGTTTATCTAGCATTGCATTACATATATACTTTATATTTAATCATATGTGCTCACACTGTATTTATACTATCTTTACTTTCCATCCAACCGGACTTAGCCAACAGAGATAATCTGTGCAGCTGGTCCTGGGTCTGGCCCTGGGGCGTCCTCCTGGTAGGGCATGCTCAAACAGAGCTCCTCATTCTTTCAGTCACTACCCAGAGATAATGACCGTAGGTTAGGGTAGAGATTCTTATTTTAAATCCCCTTTTTCTCTTTTCTTTTAGTTGTTATTGCATTTATTGACATTCTCAGAGTAATTATAGGTCATTTTTTGGTTTGGTCATCATTTCTTTATTTTCCCCTGAATTATCCAAAGTGCCCAGTCCTACTGAACTCTTTGTCTGTGTGCATGAATACATTCATCGGCGTCCCACCTTGAGCAGTCGAGCTTGGTAAGCGTTGTCCTCCTCGCCCTCTCCTCGCTGTACGTCCACCTGGTGCCTCTCACAGGCCCGAATCACCTCGTTGAGGTCGTAGATCAGAGCCGGGTCCAGAGAGTGAGCGTTTATCAGGCTCACCAGGTACTCCCTGTAGTGCTTACTGTGGGAACAAACACACACCTGAATCTCAGACGTTACCTTCATCAAAGGAGGCACAGATTCACCTGCAATATTTGATTTTTATTTTTAGGCGGTGTGTTGGAAACGACTTCACTCAGCTACAACCTGAACAATCCCAGTATTGACTCTGTGTTGGGCCTCGACCAACATGTGAGGAAACTATCCGACCACCACTTTGCTCACGAGCTGCCGTTCAGCTGAGTCTGCTTGAGCAGGCAGTGCAGAGTCGCCCTTTTCTTTGGAAACTGCTGCCACAAATGTTGCCGTGACAGTGAACCTAAACAGTAAACGTCAAACTGGTGTGTCTTCTTGCCTGACCTGATTTACTGTCTGAATCACACTCCGGGTTTT